GTAGATTAAGTCCTTATTGAGAAGGTGAAATTACCTTAGCGGGTGGACTGATTTAACTTCCTTAATAGTGAACTAGGATAAAAATAATTGTGTTCATTTATTTTTATTCTTTTGTCAAGAGTTGGTGTTTGAGTTTTGAGAAATTTTATTTTTGAGAAACTCAAACCCCCCATTTCTTGTGTTTCTTGTACCTTCAAATCCCACCCAGTGATGAGATGAAAGTGGGAGATAATCTATCCCTGAAAACGGTTTAGATAAAATCTTAATAATAAGCGTAACAAAAAATTTATGAAAATATTAGTAACAATAAATTACCGTAAGTAGCTTGCCCCTTCCTGTCATCTGTTTTGTCTTCCAAAGGCAACCCTAAAGAGGCACACCCCCCAGATGTACTTTTGAATCGTCGTCAAGTCGACGAAGTATTTATTATAGACCACATAACACCCCGTTTCTCATATTTTTGTTTTAACTGGATTAAATTTGGTTTTTATTTTATTAATTGTGTGCTTGGGTATTTTATTGGAATTTAGTTGAGGTGTGTAGAAATTATTAGTATTTAATTAGAATTTATGATTAACTCTAATTAATTAAAATAAATAGAAAATAAAGGTTTAAGTGGAAAATAGAAACTATGATGAAATAATGTAAGTGGTGATAATTAGAAGTAAGTTGGGGCCAAGGTGTGATTATTAAAAGATTAAATTAGTTTTTTTTGGATTTTTTTAATAGACATGGATTAATGAAGCTTATTTGAGTCAGTACGTGCAATTGAGTAATTAGGAGAAAGAAGAGCTTTTGCGAGAGAGTGAAAAACAAGGGTTGGAAGGAGACGAAGCCATTGTTAGAGCTTACTGCTGCTGGAAAATTAAGATAATGGGGAACTACTCATCCATGGGTGTGATTGCATGAATGGTAGAGAGGGATCATCACCCTCTTCTCTGATTTCCAATGTTTTCTCCGATTGTTGATGGTTATGTGTATGGAGGTTTTTTCAAAAACCTATCTCAATTATTACAAATAACATAAAATTTGTGCTTTATATTATTCTGAAAAATTTGTGTATGATTGATAGATGAAAATATGAATGTTGTTGTTCATGTTAATTATTCTTGAGCGTGATGAATATGTTGATGAGTTAATATTAATTTTTCAAATTAAACACTTAATAAATTAGTATTTGATGTATTAATCTCAGTATGAATTGTACATGTTGATTCCTGTGCAATTTGGGTGATTTAGGGTTAAAATTAGAGCTTTAGGGTAGCTCCAATGGTGAAATTTGTGTTATGACTTCTATAGGTCTTGACGATCTCGCCCAGCGAGACAATAACTCTCTTGGTGAGCTATGCATGGTGGGTGTTGTTGCAGGTTTTGGGAATCTCGCCTGGCGAGAGCTCACCCAACGAGATATGTGGTCTTCTGGCGAGGCTGATAGGATAAAGTTAATTGTTTTCGACTCAATTTTTTGATAGTGACCTGTTTTAGGAAATGTTTGGTACTCTTAGATGTCAATTACCATTGCTGAGTGTTGTTTGATGTTGATTGATGACTTGTTAATTATTTTACCTTATTTTAATAATTAATGTGTTTATGGGTTCGATTTGGAGATGGAATTGATGTATGATGCGGCCTTGTGTTGTGGTGATGTTATGCTGGTGTATTTGGTTCAAAGATGAAACGATTTTGAATTATGTAGGTGAAGGTTGATGTGAACCGCATATGATGTTTAATTGTCAATCATGCATCATGCATGATTTAGGTGATGATGTTGTCAGGTTCAGAGATGAGACTAGTGGTGTTTCGTGTGATCTAGAGATGTGATCAGTGATGGGAGGATTTCAGTAACACACCTCTGAGCTTCCGAAACTTTGGTACTACATGCATATAGAGTCGAGGAGTTAAATCACATTGCATACACACTTGTGTTGCAAATTGATTGTCGTTGTATTGTGTGAATAATCTATTGTTGTTGATTATTTTTGGTGATATATATCCTTGTATTATTTTACACCGCTAACATATTTTGAGCATATTCTCACTCCTGATTTTCTTGTTGTGTTGACTATACGCCTATGATACAGATACTCGAGTAGAGACTGAGAAGCCTTAAATGTTGTTGTATGGAAGATGGCTCGTGCCTTCTTCGTTTATCATTTTGTGTCACATTTAGTACTTGGTGTCACTCTGATAGTGTAACATTGGAGATGGGATTGTTATTTCTTTATTCTGCTTATTGTTAAATTTTTATGAAACTAATATTGTATTCAATTTAAAGTAAACTCTTTTTTAGACTATGAGATGTTGTGTACAATGTTTTATAAGTTTCGTTGCTATGTGTTTGAGTTGTGAAAATGTGTTATGCGGAGAATGTGTGACACCCTATTGCTGATAGCAAACTCGGATTATTTTATAAAATATGCATTAGAGAATTAGGGTGTTACATACCACATCGATGTAGGTTGCACTTTTGTCCAAAAAAAATGAACGTGTTAACCAGGAACAAGAGGTAACACCTTAATGCACATACCCACTGGTACACAACCTGCATATCATCATCACTGACATCCCTAGCTCTCTACAACTGGTCTTTATAAAGTTCTTCCAAGAATTTTAATCTAGCATGAGCACCTCTGGTATCAGCTACTTCATTTGCATCCTCAGTTGGGCCAGCCTCCAAATATGTAACCAACATCTCTCTAACTTCGTATCAATCGAGCCTTTTGTGGTCCAGTAATTTTCTCTGATGGGGAGATGCATGAGACGCCATCTAGAGTGATGGTCATCTTGCCAATATGAAGGTGGAAAGATGACGTCTCTGAATGTCATCTCTCTGCAAATGTCGTCTACATGCCATCGTTTATGATCATATATGCAGTATCACATAAACTGGCAAGCCCATGGTAGCAGATAACATCTTGGAACTAGTCATCTTAGGGTTGTTTCAAATCCAAAATCTTCCTTCCATGGTTTACGGATTTTAAACATGGACGTTCCTGTAAAAAAAATATCACCATTAGTCGCGATTAAATTAGTTTAAAACATATGTAATGGAAAAGTACATAAATATACCTCTCCTTCCGAGACATGCCTAGCAGCATAGTTTTCATAGATATGAAGTAAGGAGGTGTTAGATAGGCCTCGTATATAACTATACAGAGGCATTAGTAGAGGGTTCCTTTTGGACTTTAGGGGCTTTAGGTGCTTCTTCATCTGGGAACACGTGGCCCTCATGAAGTAGAGGCCTGAGGAAGGCGACTATGAAAAGTAGAATCGGATGGTTGCAAACCTCGACGTTGTGAACCATCAAATAAGTTATCATCGACTTGTGGCCTCGTGGTTCTGACAGCAGTCCTCTCACGTCGTACAGGCACGGTTTAGGACACGCGGTCGAGCCTAATTATGTCAGGGTTGTTTTCAATCATTGCACCTACGTTAAAACCAGAAAGTCGCATAAAAAATTCAACCAAAATAGAGCCAGGTATAAATTCGGAGATACTTCTCCGAAAATAGTTCAGACAAAATCTGGAGATGCATCTCTGGATGAAGTCGCGATTTTCAACCGACAGAAACTTCATTGCTACCCTATTCTCCAACCAAATGGAAATGCATATTCATATCGTTTATCCATTTCGATTGCACTACTATCTAATGCAACTTAAACAACTTATGTTACCTAAAACATCATTCAGAACATAAAAAATAAAATAAAAAAGAATGAAATGAGAAACTTACCAAATCAAAGTTGTGGATAAGAAGATTGAGTGGAGCGAGTAACTTTGGAGCAAACGGAGTAGAATGAAGTGGGTGAACTTGATAAAACTTCCTCAAATAGGGTTTGAAAATGGGTTGTAGCCAAAGAGTTCAAATGGAATTTTTGAGTAACTTTTTCAGAAAATGAAAGAAGAAGAGAATGGTTTGACCCGAGTATATGAAATAAAAGCGTTCGGAGATGCATCTCTGTAAAACTCCCTGAATTTTAAAGAAACTTTAAATTAAGGATTTTTACAGAGATGCGTCTTCGGATTAACTTCATGCATACGGAGATGCATCTCCAGATTAAATTTTAGCAAAATGAGAATGTCTCGTCAATTTATATCGAGGAGTGTGTAAAAAAGAGACATCCAGAAATGCATATTCGAACGCTAGGAGCAATTGTGACTTTTAATGACGGTGGAGGAGCACCCCTTAAGGGTGGGAAAAATAATCTCCCAGGATATCTATAAATGTGATTTTTGGGCTAGATTGTTTGTGAAGAACACATACCTACTGCTTGGAGATGAAGGGATAGGAAGACTAGTTCTTCCCTCAAAATATGAAGAGGATTTCCTCCACCTTTGACCAAAATTGTTCCATTCACAGACACCTCATCGACCATATACTGAGACGGTTGACTTGAGACAGACATGGGTTTTGGTCAGGCAACCCAAGCTCCATTTGGGTGACACGTGGCTCGCCTTATTTCTTATGACATTTTCATAACATCTTTGAACATATTGAGTTATAGATCGCTCCCTTTTAAGGCCTTTATCGGGAATTTTCCAATCCTAAATCCAACTTCAAGAACGCAATATCCTTAAAACTATGATTGTCAAATTTGCAAATTAACTCGTAGACTTAGACCAGTTTTCGAATCTAGTAGATCAAAACAAACTGACTCACATTCGTTTTTACAGCAAATTCACTCTAAGATAGATCAATCAAACACGGATAGACTATTCAACACCATTTTCAAGTAAATTATGCACATTTTCACTTTATCTCCACTGCTGTCTCGTCTCCTTGAGGTAATCTTGGTCTACTTCTCAATTTTAAGGATCCAAGGCTCATAAGTAGCAACAGAGCTACATGGTTAAGATTGTTAATAGACACATGATACCTCAAAGATAACAAAACAAATAAGAGCTACATTAAGAAAACTGCAATAATAGTTTTAGGCAAATGATTTAGAAAATACCAAAAAAGGAAACTACATATTTAATCCATTGTGACCATCATAACTTTTATCTTTCACAGAGATGTTGATTTAACAGAAACAGAAAACCAAATTTGGCATCATCATCAATGCTAATTTGCTTCAGAATTACTCGCTGCTTTGATTTGGGAGTCCTTAGCAAGTCCTCTTTTCCGCCAGTAAAGAAAATAACTGAGCATATATGAATCCAACAACACATCAGGAATCGCCCTTATGAAAAACGACTGCAGAGAATGAAAAAAGTACGGTACAGCCAGTTTCTCATAACCAATCCATTTCATACATGTTTTGCTATATACATCTGGTGTTGGAACAAACAGAGACGCCTTCATCCTGGTCATTTTCGTCGACACAAATAATGGAACTTGACACTGGATGTCAATTCCTTGATGTTTGTATTCCAAATTGGTGCATGCAGAGAACATGGCAAGATAGCTGTAAAATCAGCATCAAGATCTGGATTCAGATTTGTGTTTAACTATGCAATTGATGAATAGTGAGAATAGAAAAGATGCATTGATGAAAGTACTTACGCTTTGGAAGCTGCATAAAGTGTGACAAGAGGATAAGAAGGAAGAACAACAGTGGAACCAGAACCAATGTTTATAATAGCTCCTTTTTTCTTCTTAATCATACTAGGAATCACAGCTTTTGTAACCAAAGTTGCTCCTTCTACATTGACTTTAATAATAGAATCCATCAAATCCAAATCAACCTCATGAAAATATCTTGCATAAGGATAAGCTACACCAGCAGCATTAACTAGAATTCCAACATCTAAACCATCAATAGCTTGTTCTATTTTCTTCATTATTTCGTCTCCGGTATTGTTGTGTAGGTCTACAACAACGCACTTTACCTCGACGTCTTTGAATTGATCAAGTATGTCTTTTGATGTTACTTGGAGTTTAAGAGGGTTTCGGCCGAGTAAGAGAATGTTGAGTCCGTTGGATGCGAACTCGAGAGCCATGGATTTGCCAATTCCGTCGGTTGAGCCGGTGATGATAGCCCATGAGCCGTAGTGTTTGAGATTCTTTGTTGGGCGGATTAAAGTGGCGTATATCCAGTGGAAGAAATGGAAGAGGGATTTGGAGATGGAGATGAGACCTAAAGTGGTTGTTGCTACTAGGAAGAAATGTGTGTAATCCATTATTGTTGGCGAAGACAGAGAGAAAGTGTTTGAAGATGTTGTGTTGTTTTGGAGTGTTAAATGTTTGTAACAACTTTTGAGGTCAGAGAAATCATGTGTGGGGTGTGTGATGAGAATCAGTTAGAATTGCAATAAATGGTGACAGTAACTCTTACCTGTAATTGGAAGTCCTGTGATGATGTGAGCCGTTGAATGTAAGATCGAAAAGTTTCAACGGTTTACAATCACTGCATTTTTGAGCAACTTGTTATGGTGTTGTTGGGCACGACGAAGAGAGTGAGTTTTAGGGATTTCAATGAAATTTTCCGTGTTTGGTTATATTTGGATTTACGGAAAACAAGATGAAATGAAATGGAATAATCCAATTTTAAATTTTTTATTATAATAGAATGTCATATTCAGTTTATTGAAACCAATTCATTAATAAATACAATAGTGTTTATTTAGATAATCAAATGATAACTAATTTAATTATAGATTTAAACCCCTCAAATGACATGGAATGACCTCGCGGATAAAAAAATAAAAATAATTAGAAAGAATATTTTGGCTTTTTTTTGGTGGGAAATTAAAAGTAGAATTTTTTATTGCAAAGCCAAAACAAAATCTCAAATTTTTTTTTTTGGTAGAGGCTGAATCACATCTTAACTCTACGTTTTAAGAGATCTGTAGGAGGAAATATAGGAAGACGAGGGAAAACAGGAAAAGCTTCAGAACTAGAGAATGAGACATGACCAATAAGTGATAGTAATACTGATTCATGACTAGAAATGATTGCATGATCCTAACAACAAATACAAGTCAATCCTAACAAAATTAACAGAAGAATAACAGTCTGTAACATTGTAATAACCATTTACACAAAGTATCATTGATGGTAACTGCCATGTCATTCAGAGGAACTTGGATAGATCAGGGTTCATAAATCGGTATTAGACTATCAGTGTTAGCAACAAGGCCAAGATGTACATGATCCTAGCCTAACTATACAATTTCCTTTTTGTCATATTTAGAGTAGGAAAAATGTATATCAGTAATTTTCTAAAATGGTAAATCTGGTTTGGTGAGTCGATAAGCGGTTCCAAGTCATGAGTCAGTCTCATTGCCATATTCCGAGTTCTTAAGAAGATGATCCTGGTGAAAAGGATCATCTGTACCGTGCACAGAACTCAACCTGGGAGAATAGTTCCACCCTGTCATTTGCTCAAGCTCGTAGCCATTGCATCTCATGTCACATTCCTCCTGGAACTTCAGGAAGAACATCGATGACCAGTAATCTTTTGCCAAGTTCTGGGAAGTGGATGCAATATATAAAAATTTAGATGAAAACTATACAGCCACAACAAGGATAATTTTAATCAAAGGAGTCCTATCAAATTGTTTTGAATGTAAGGAACTCACTGTTTTCATCAGCTGCACGATCTCATTAAGTGCATTATGAAAGAGATCAGCACGTGCGAGGTTTGAAGTTGACAAAATTTCCTGTTTGCTTCTGTGAGAGATGTTTATCTCCATAGCTGCGCCTGTAAAATGACATTTTAGCAAATATTAAACACAGGCACCCTACAATTGGAACGAAAGCTTGCAAGCACGTGATTATTATTTTTTCTATAAAGTTAGAACTCTCTTGGTATTGAACTCATTCACTGAAAACCCTATCTGTGAGACATGTAACGGTGTCTAAATGAAATAACTGTTTATAAGGAGTGAGAGAAATCCAGTATAACAATTTTGGCAATGACAAAAGCAGGATGCCATGGAAGAGAAAACAAGACAAATGATGAATAAACAAAGCTATCTGTAACAAAAAGTACCAACCTGCGACTATGTACTTCTCAATAATATGCCGTGCCATATAGATTCTTCTCACGCAGTCATTTTCCGATATCTTACTTAGCCCATACACTTCATCAAAGAAGTGCACACTCTCCCCAGCCAAGCAACTGTAAATTATATTAAAACATTAATATGTTACTCTTTTGCATGAACAGAGACAAGGTTTTTTACTTTTGTTTTCCTTGCTGTTTTCTTCTATTTTGATGTGTAGGTCCAAACATGGTTTTAAATTGAAGTCTGCAACGGCAATTGCGGCCGCAATATTGCTGATACGATCGTCTCCGCAATGGAATCGGACAACAATTGCATTGTGAATTAAAATCATGTATGCGACTGCATTAAGAACCGCATTTGAAAATTTCGTCCATATGAAAATTTTAGAACCACAAATCTCAATCTTATCTAAAACTAATGAAAAGTCTTAACTTTAAACACTTATAAATTGTGTATTTTAAATATCTCTCGATAAATATTCGCGCTGCAATACGCTTTGCAGCATACCCAATGACCGCAATGGCAATACCCGCAACCGCATCCATGACCGCAATTTAAAACCATGGGTCCAAAACTTTCTAGACTCTAGACAAGATTACTAAGATCCATTTATCTCAACCAGGATTCTTTAGTCTCAAGTAACACCTATTAAATTTGCTGTATTGAAAAGGTCACCTATTTCACTTAAATCATTTTTCTTAAATAAGAGAAGCCATAATTCCGCAACAAATGTCTGCCTACATACTGGAGTCAACAGAAGGACATTTTACCTGTCGGAAAATGCCATAAAAGACTGCCTGAATTTCTTGTTCATGAGAAGCTTATCCAACGGTTCATTGGGATCTATCCTCGAAATTGGTTCACTTTGAGTTAATACCCCACTATCAGGTATGCCCAAAGCCTGGCCCATTGTGCGAAATTCTCTGGACTCTCTTCTCCTCAAGCTGATTTGCGAGAGCAGTGGTTGTGAACTTGATATTGAAAAGAACGCCAGGACAAGTATGCTAGCCTTTAAATAAAGACAACATAAGATGAAGTAAATAAGAGATTCACAACATAATTAATGGCATTGAATTCATACATCCAATTAACTAACAATGTGCTATTTCATTGTAATGCAACAAGAAGCAGTAGGAAAGCATACCAAAACTAAAAGAAGAAATCTGGAGGCAACTTGAAGCCATGCGATATTGTCATGAATTTCATTAAGTACGTAAGCAGTAACCCATACAACTGACAGAATAAATTAGCAAAGGTTAAATTATTGAGGCCACCAAGCTGAGACATCCAGAAAATATATGTTAGAATACAACAACAACCAAGTCTTATCCCACTAAGTAGGGTCGGCTACATCAAACGATGCCGTAATGTTCTCCATATATCATATCTCTAGATCTTGCAATATATGTTAGAATATATGAAAAATATCTTGCAATATCGTGTTTGTATCTTGAAGTAATTTAAAGTATCTTAGATTATCTTTCAGGCTTAGTTTTCATATTTAAAGCATCAAGATTATCATTTGTAATAACATTCTGATAGGATGAAGTCTGGGCAAAAACCCTAATGAGGAGGAGGTCTTAGTGGGCCTAAATGATGGCAGGAGGCCCAAAGTTTAGAGGGTGTATGAGAAACAGAAGATGAGAGAGGGAAGGGGAACATGCTAGGGGACAGATGGCTAGTTAATTAGAATATTCCAATAAGAGAGGGTGTGGAGATTGGTGCATTCGGTTATGAGAATCATGTTAGAACCCCTTTGTGGTAGGCAGGAGAGAGAATTGTTCTCTCTCAACTTAGGAGCCTTAGCTCTGGTAGTTTCTTCATCAAATTCCATTCATTATTCCCTAATAGTCAACTCTGCTTTATCAATTGGTCCGACCTGTCCTTGTTGATGCACCCAAAAATTGTTGATTGAGTAACTGCAGTGGAACTTCGTTTGGAGCATTTTGAATTGGAATCCAGTTTTGAGTCATTCCATGAGAATGTGCTCACAAAGATTCCCAGTACGTTGTTGGCGCAGAAGGAAACACCTCAGCCCAGTTTACGTCACTAGACGGATTCGGCCTCTCTACAAAGAAGGTGGAATTGCCTCCCTTCAATGGTGCTGATCCCGTTGCTTGATCACTCATGCAGAGACCTATTTTGAATTTCAAGGCATCTCAGAGGACGTTCATATTCAACTCACCAACTTGAGCATGGAAGGACCAAAAACTCATTGGTTTAATTTGCAGAGGGATTCTACAAGTCTTTGACGTGCGAGGATTTGAAGGATGCGAAAATGATGATAATGATGAGATTTGGGGGAGGGATTCATGATAATCCCTTCGAAGAACTGAAAGATCTCAGGCAAACAAGCTTGGTGGAGGAATACATTGCTGAGTTTGAACTTTACTTGTCGCGTGGTGGATGATTTCTGGAGCAGCAATTTCTGGGGTATTTTACGGGAGGTTTGCGTAACGATATTTGTTCCCGTGCTCGTGCCATCAAACCATGCAATCAGTATCAAGCTATGCAGATAGCATAGCATGTGATGTGGAGTCTAAATTTGTTGTGTTGACTCAACAGGGTGAACTGTATAGGTTGCGCCTCAAACCAAGTCAGCCCCCAAATTAGGCTCATTCTAACAGGCCGTTTTGGGCCCCAACGAAATGGGGATTCCACAATTCCTACCAATATGGTCAATATCGGGCTTACTTCAAATCTGGGTACGATCCATTTCAAACAAGGATTGCCAGTCGTCTAGACCGTCGCCGCAGTTTGTTCCATCTTCCACCAGTTCGACTGGGAGTATCTATGATGGCCTTCACAGGGAGAAATGCATCAGTGAGGTATGCCCTTTGTCCTTTGCTGTGACACAGGATCAGTGATCAAAGGGGATTTGTTTCCATCTCAATGAACAATGAAGTCCGCTCATCAATGTGCAATGAAAAAACTTGAATCGGTTATACTGGGAGATGTTGGAGCTGTTAACGAGGAGGGATGGATTGCCAATGTCTTAACAATGAAACTGGAGGGTTAACTACAAGGTTTTTATTTCGGCCCTAATTGCATTCGGGCAACTCATAATTTCATCTTATCCCTCTATTTGAGGAAGCCTTGTGTTTACCTATTATTCATATTAAACCAATAGGGGTTGTTTAGGTGATGGTCATCGTATCTACCTTGGGCAAATGTGAAGGAGTGAAATTGGAAATTAGGAAGGTTGACATCAACTTAGAAGCGAATGTGTTGGGGGTAGGTGGTGTCGATTTATTCTTGGGGGTGATGTGGTTGGAGACCTTAAGGAAGGTGACAAAGAGATGTTAATGTTTTTCAATTATTGTAGGCACACGCTGCATCTGAAAGGGCAGCACAACACAGGCATGGCACTCACTTTCTAGAGTTCCGTGACCACGAAGGTGAGGGAAGTGGAAGGCTACTGTTGGTCTATAACCATGGAGGTTGGAGACCAGAGGTTGAGCCCCCTAGCACGGAACAATGAGCTGAAACAAATGTTGTCCACATATGCAGCAGTTTTCAAGGAGATTGAAAGCCTTCCACCAGTGTGAAATATTGCTCAAGCCATTTGATGCCATCTGGCACAGGAATTTTCAGTGAGTGACAGTATCCTATCCTCATTAACAAAAAGATGAGATCGAGAAGAAAATGAAACTCCTAATGCAGCAAGGGATGATTCATAATTTCTGGCCACATGATATTGAAGAAAAAGAAAGATAATTCATGATAGATGTGTGTAGATTATAGAGCTCTTAACAAGGTGACAATGCAAGACAAGTATCCTTTGAACTCAACAATGCACCAGCAACCTTTCAATCTTTGTCGAGTGAGATTTTCAAGCATTTCCTTTTTCTATGACATATTGGCGTATAGTGTAGATTGGAATCACCTGTAACACTCGGCATTGCTTCTGCAGGTGCTTCAACAACATTGTTTGTAGCCAATCAGCATAAGTGTGCTTTTGGATAGAGGCAGATGGAGTATCCAGGTCATGTTATTTCAGATCAAGATAAAGGAGTAGGGGTTGTGTTGATGCAGTCAAAGCACCCTATAGCTTAGTTTAGCAAGGATATTTTGGGATCTAAGTTGAGTAAATATGCTTATGATAAAGAGCTCGTGGGCCTAGTTTTGGTCATTCCACATTGGGGTCATTATTTATTGGAGAGAAAATTTGTAGTGTACTCTGATCGGAAGAGTTTGAGTCATTTGACTAATCAAAGGATAACTACTGCCAATCAATAAGAATGGATTACGAAATTTTTGGATTTTGATTTTGAAGTCATGTATAAATTAGGTGCGGAGAATAAGGTGGCTGATGCATTATCCCCGCCAGCATGAGAACCTTGAATTGAAAGCATTGACGTTTTATTCTATCTAGCAGCAAGGCAGAGACTTACACATGGAGGTCAGGCAAGACCCAGTGTTGAAAGGGATCATTGCAACACTACAAACCGACTCTACATCCAAACCTGCGTACGAGCTGAAAGGAGGGGTTTTGTTTAACATAGGCTGATTGGCTATACCTGCTGCATCTCCAAATTATTGACACTACTAATGGATTTTTGTTCTTCTAATGGATTTTCTTTTCCTCCCTCAGTACTTAAAAGACTAATCCTATAACTACTACAATATTCAACCTCATATTTTGTGACACTAGTTAGAAAACAACTATGGTGGATATAGGTATATTGGGTTTGCCTATGCAAAGCAGTTCCCAAAGCATAGTGGTTATTCCTCCGTCCTCATTCGTAATAATAAGATATACTCTTTATATTACCAATGAAGCATTAATTAATTTTTTTCCTTATTAATATACTCTTATTTATTGTATCTCAATTCACCAAACTAATATTTTAACTACAATTAATAAAAATGTTTTATTAAATGAAATTCATTTTATTACTGAAATCAACACAATAATTTATTTTCTTAAAAAGTGTACAATCAGGACTAACAATGAACTGAACCAACTCGAAAATAGTTTGAAACTCGATTTGACAATTAATCGTTGAACTAGGTTCATGAACCAAATGAGCTGAATATGAGCTAAAAATTAAGTTCATTAGTTTGAACTATACATAGTTTGACTCGTAAGGTTCATGAGTCAACTCGATTATATATGAGATGGATTATATCGTCTTTAAGAGTAGGTTTAAAGATCTGCTCCAAATCTTAGACATTTTTTTTTTAATCTAACAATTTTAATTGATAACTTATATTCTCAAATAAGGAAAATATTTCTAAAAATAATTATATAAATAAAATCGACATAGTATAAATTCCAAATTTATCTTATTTCTATATTTTTTATTTTAAAATATAAATTTAAAATGTCAAATAAAAAAATAAATAGACTTTAAAAAATGACTTTTAAGTCCGTGAAATAAGCGAGTTGAACCGAGTTGTTCGTGAACTTTTAACGAGTCGAGTTTGAGCTGAAAAAAAGTTTGTGACGAACTCGAGTCGATATTTGAGTTGAACCAATTCTAAACGAGTCGAGCCGAGCTGAAGCGAGTTCGACTTGACTCGACTCATTTCCAGCCATACGTGCAACCCAAAAGGGAGACTTAAAAATATATAGAGGGAATAACTGCCTATTTGTAAAAACAATTGTCCCAAAATGACTAATCTCTCAATTTTCAATAAAACCTTCGGCTTCGTTTGGGAGTTTGGAGGGGAAGGGAAGGGAGGGGAGGATTTTGGAAAATAGGAAGGATTGGGTAAAAAGAATAGAAAGATTTTGGTTAGGAGGGTTTTGGAGGGTTTGTGTTTCTTCGTAACACCAAAAACCCCCTAATTTGTGGAAACTCAATTTATATTGAAGGAGGGTTTTGGAGGGCTTACATAAATTTTTTAAATATCTTTTGTTGTTATAGTATTATGAAAATTAAAAATACAGTAATAATAAACACTATTTATGGCTCTATACAAAATTATTTTTTCAAAAAATGTCAAATATTTTCCTATATTTTTTTAAAAATTTGTTTTCGAAAACCTTTCCTTCCCCTCCCCTCCAAACTCGCAAACATAGCCTAATAGACTTTTTTCAATTGTACTCTCTCATTAATACTACTTGGATCACTTCCAATTTCCATTTTGCATATAGGATACAGATGAATACACCAATACATGATAATGATATTTTAGAAAAAATATTCTTATCTTTTATGAATCTGTATAAAATGGTCAACATATTTCGGACGGGGGAGTAATAAATAGCAATAGATATAAACATTTGAAAATATTGCATTGAAGAGCTAACATTGATTTCTGCTTCAGTTTTTTAACATGAATTTTACTCATTTAGGCTTAATGGTGAATTCAAGAACACTGATATTTGCATTAGAGTACTAGTTAGTGGTTAGAAGGAAGCTAGGAGCTATAAAATTAATAAAAATATAGTGGAGTATCTTTTAGAATCTAGGAAAAAGTGTACCAATGGATACGGATGATACAAGTATTCCTCGCCAGAGATCTCTGAGTTCATCAAACCTGAACTCTATATGATGAACAGCAGCAGTTACCCCAACCAAAGTGGCAACATACAATGAATGAAGGCAAACAACTGGTATGGTCCACTGAGCCGACATGTGGCAGCGATTGCTAAGAGGCTTCTTTATATGGATAACTAGAGCATGAATTGATAGCTTCGTTAGAAATCAATACAGGAAAATAGCAACTTAGGCTAGGCAAAGGGAAGATTCTGGCAATCATTTCTAAAAGGAAATCCTACCAAGTGCCCTTAAGTATTGTCTAAAGAATCAAAAGAGCAAAAAAAAAAACACATTAAAATACTAGAATGAATTTATAGCCACCTCTACTACCAGCAGTAAAGTCTATGGAACACAAACAACAGCAACAAGTAACTTAAGGTTGATTCAGATTCTTACCAGCAGCACCAACAATCCAGGGAATTAGAATAAGTGGAATTAAAAGGAATGATCTGATCAGTGGTAAACGCCTCCTGAAATAGTAGTAAAGAAATTTAAATTCAACTCACAATTGAAAAATGGACAGTTACTCATTAAGCCATGAGGTGAGTACAAATAAAAAGCTATAAAATAAAATGAGTGGTTATATTTTTTTATCGCAAAAAAAAGGTGCGGTGTAGAAATTTTAAGGTTGTGAAATGCTTAATTCCCATAATAAAATTTGTAATTACTTGGCAAAGTGCCACTTAAGGCAGCAACTGAAGCTATAGAGCCTAACAACTCAACATCAGGTTGTCACTTACTTGACAAAGATAAAATATAACTGAAATGCTTGTGTTATGCGGCAGCTCAACAGCAAACCAAATCCTAGTGGACCTTCACCCCAAACTGAAAATAAACATTAAGTATGGTTATGCTAACAACAAGTAACAAACATTCATATATTCAACTATGAAGTATAAGCAATTCAGAATAGATGGCAAGAAGGTAACCTGCCCACAAATAGCATGACTTCCAATGCCTCTTTTCAAATTTCAAGAAACTGTTTGACATCTGCATACAAAAATTATAGATAGTATATACTATTGTAACGACTGAAACAACTTTTTTTTTGTCACAGAAAATCAATGATATATACTACATAAAGAACTTTCTTTGTACCATAATTGACAGAAGAAGGTTGAAGCTAGCAACAACTTGAATGACAGGTATCCAAAAACCACTTCCTTTAGTACGAGGAACCTTGTGAACTAGGAAGGGAAATATCGACCATACAAGAAGCCTGAAAGATAGAAGCCAACATTATCAATAGCACATGCATAAAAAATCCCAAATTATTATATTCATAAGCTGTCTCCAACTTACTTATCGCAATATGGTAACCTAATTTTTCAATTATAGAAACAGCTTACTCATAAGCTCATAAATGATAAGCACCAATTGAAGTAAGTAAGATTAGAAGTTGTTGATTAATGAGATTGAGAACTGAAGATTGATTGAGGCATTTGAACAAACAGGTGGCGAATTGGCAGGGAAAAAAGTAAGAAACTTACAGAATTAAGGAGAGAGCGGAAAGAACAACGGCTGCATAGTCAGTGGGACAGCCTCCTTGGACGGTACAGTGATTCGCCATTCAGTTATCATCTGAGGTACAGGTTGCATTGAATCCAAGCTGACAATGTTGTTGTCTTTGTTTTCCTAGTCAACATCATTTCCACGTGATGTTTGTTTCACACTTTGATTTACTATTACGTTTTGTCTGGATTTCTTAATACTTTTAATTCTTAATTCTTGTTCTAAATGTTTTATGGGTTAAAAGTGTTTTTACTTATTTATTTATTTTAGATTCCTCTATTTTTTGTTTTTCTTTTCTTAGATTCTCATCATAATAGTATTTGACAGTACAAAATTTATGACATGCTATACTTTGTTGATATTTTTTTGAACTTTTTATGTATTTTTTATATATATTATGAGAAATTTGTGCTATCACACGGGTCCTATTTGAGTTTACATTATATGTCTATCAAACTATCATTTGTATTAAATTTATTTTTCAATTAGTTAATATTCACATAGTTACAAATATACACTAATAATATGTATTTGTTTTTTAAGCATTAATATATATTTATAATAAATCATATAATTAATTATTTAACATCAATTATATTAAACTGTAGCAAAAGAAAGATTTAAAAGATGGACATTAAAATTAAAAGTCTACGGTTGATATCTCATAGATACGTTCACATCTATCCGTAAATTCAAATGAGTTAACAAACTCCAATTGAGTTCAAATGAGTTAATTATAAAAAGTTATTAAACATATTTTAGATATTAACTCATTTTTCCAAACCTAAAATATATGACAGTTCTCTTGAAATTTCAATTTTGAAACTTTCTTATTATATATTTTAAACATAGCTTCTATCAAATCCTTAAAAGTATCTACGTTTAATATATATTATTATAATATAAAAAATATTTAATTCCATTTAAATCAGAATTATTATAGAATAAAAAAACACGATTATAAATAGATTTGATTCCTCATTTAAATCAAAATCAAATCCAACAATTCACCTTAATTTCATTCTATTTCTTTTAGAGATCTTATCAATTTTTAAAAAATCAAACATATTTTATCGATTATATACATTTAATTTTTTTAATTATTTTAAAATAGAAACTAAAAATACACTTATCAAATTTGTAGAGTATATATATTTTATAGAATATTAAATATTAATAAATGTTAAATTGTAATTCAGTGTGTCGAAACTATGTGTCGAAAAGATTTGATTTGTTTTAGATTTAAATAGATTTGATTTAAGTCTAGAATAGATTAGATTTGATTTAGTAACAAAATAGATATTTTGGGCTTTGGGCTTAGGGTGTAAGCTCAGTTATAAATAGAGGGAGTAACCCCTATTTTTGTAAGCAAGTCAATTAAGTTGTATTCACAGAATTTGCAGTTGCAAGTGAATAACAAAGTTTTCACAGTTTGTGAGCAGAGAGAAACTCTGCAGAAATTATTTGTCTTGTCTTCTTTTCTTTATTTTTCTCATAACTAATCGTCATTGTGGTAGAAATTCATCATAGTCTTTTGGTGGATTTCCAACATCTGGTATCAAGAGCTTTGTTTCGATTCGAGAGAAGTGTCAATCAAGAACGATTGAAGAATTCACGATGACAAGTTATGAGAATGCAAACTATCCAGCAACGCTACCAATTCTGAAAGTTGACAATTATGAGAATTGGTGCAAACAGACGAAAGTCTTATTCAGGTGTCAAGGTCTTTGGGACCTTGTAAAAGATGGAGTCGAAGCGCTTGGAGAAAACGCTTCAGAAGAAGAAAAGAAGAAATACACAGAATCTGAGAAGCTGAGTTATAAAGCATTATTTATAATTCATCAATGTGTTATTCCAGACAATTTTGAAAAGGTTAGTGATTCAGAATCTGCAAAAGAAGCTTGGGAATCCTTGAGAAGTCTTTTGGAGGCGCTGAGAAAGTGAAAGAAGTGAGGTTACAAAATCACAAAAGGACGTATGAACTGCTTCAGATGGAAGACAGTGAAAGCATATCTGATTTCTTCACTAGAGTTACAAAACTAGTAAATCAAATCAAGATATGTGGAGAAACGTTAACAACAAGAGTTGTTGTTTCGAAGATCTTGAGATCTTTAGCTCCTAAATTCGACCACATAGTGGTGGCGATAGAAGAGGGGAAAGACTTGTCGAAATTGACAAAGGAAGAGCTTCAAGGGACGCTTGAATATCAGGAATAAAGAATGAACGAAAGAGTTGCAGGCAAATCGAAGAGTGGTATGGCCTTGCAGGCACATTCAGCAAAAGAGACCAAAGGCAAAGGAAAGTGTTTCGACAGAGGTAGAGGTGGCTACAACAAATCGAATGGTAGAGGAAACCAGATCGAAGGAAACATGTCGAATCAAAGAAGACCATACCAAGGCAACCAAAGAGGTGGTGTTGCAAATAGAGGAAGAGGTGATGGTCGAAAACCTGATAAGAGTCACATTCAATGTTACCATTGTCAGAAGTATGGTCACTATTCGAGTGATTGTCCAGAAAAACGAAAGAATCAAGAAAGTGATGCAAAGCTTGCAAAACATGAAGAAGAAGAAGAGATGATGCCAATGGTCACAACAAGAGATGAAGATAGATTCAAGGACCAGTGGTACTTGGATTCAGGATGTTCATCACATATGTCTGGAAGGAAAGACTGGTTTGTCAATATAAATCCCTCAATAAAAAGTATGGTAAAGTTTGCAAATGACAATACCCTAGCAGCTGAAGGTATTGGTGATGTTATTATTATGAGGAAACATGGCAAAAGGCAGTAATCTTCAATGTGTTGTACATACCAGGCATGAAGAGCAATTTATTCAGTATAGGGCAGTTGGTCAAAAAGAATTATAAAGTGTCAATCGAAGATAAGATGATGAGAGTCGTTGATGCAAATGAGAGATTAATCTTGAAGGCTCCTATGTCTCAGAATCGAACCTTCAAGATTGAACTAAATGTGATGGAGCACAAGTGCCTTTCGACTGCAGCCAGCAGAGATAAATGGATATGGAATTATAGACTAGGCCATCTCAACTTCAGAGACATCAAAGATTTGAAGAGAAAAAAATATGGTTTCGGGATTTCCTGAAATTGACATTCCAAATGAAGTATGTGAGGAATGTGTGCAGGCGAAGCAACACAAGAATAACTTCAGCAAGGATGCAGGAAGCAGATCAAAGGCTATTATTGAAGTCATATACTCTGATGTATGTGGACCAATCCAGGTGGATTCGATGGGAGGTAACAAATACTTTGTTACATTCATAGATGATTTCAGTCAAAAGTTGTGGACTTATCTGATCAAGAAGAAAAGTGAAGTGATCGAAGTATTTGCCAATTTTAAGTCTATGGTCGAAAGACAGAGTGGTCAAAAGCTCAAAGTTTTGAGAACTAATGGTGGTGGAGAATATGTGTCGAAAGACTTCGACGAGCTATGTGAAAAGGAAGGGATTGTGCATGAGGTGGTGCCACCCTATACTCCACAACAAAATGGAATTGCATAAAGGAAGAATCGAACCATCATGAATATGGTGAGAAGTATGTTGAAAGGCAAGAATTTACCTAAAGAGTTTTGGGGTGAAGCTGTTTCGACTGCAACATACATTTTGAACAGATGTCCTACAAAGAAGCTAGAAGGAATTACTCCAGAAAAATGTTGGTCTGGTGTGAAGCCTAGCTTGATTCATCTGAAGGTATTTGGATCTATTGCACATAGACATGTGCTAGATCAGCTGAGAAGAAAACTTGATGTCAAGTCAAGTCAAATGATTCTAGTTGGATATCATTCGACAGGAGGTTACAAGTTGTTCGATCCAGAGAACAAGAAGATTGTGATCAGCAGGGACGCGATTATAGATGAGTTTAAAGAATGGGATTGGATTGATAATGTCAATAAATATTCAGTGGGAATCCATCTTGAAGAGCCAGAAACTCAAGTCGAAAGAGAAGTTCGACAAGAGGAACCAGCAGATATACCAAGTACAAGTAGTCCTCAAAGAACAAGACGCATGCCTGCAAGATTTCAAGATTGTATGATTACATCAGGTGATGTGATAGATAATGAAGGTGAGCTGGTACATTATGCTTTCTATGCAGATGTCGAACCCGTTAATGCAGCTGAAGCATTAAAGGATTCGAAGTGGGTGAAAGCAATGAACGAAGAAGTGAAGTCTATCGAAGACAACAATACTTGGTCACTTGTCGAATTGCCTCAAGGCAAGAAGGCAATTGATGTCAAGTGGGTATACAAAGTGAAAACGAATTCGAAAGGTGAAGTAACTCGACACAAAGTAAGGCTTGTGGCGAAAGGATTTCTACAGAAAGAAGGAATAGACTTCGATGAAGTTTTTGCACCTGTTGCTAGGATTGAAACGATCGGGTTGGTTGTTGGTCTAGCAGAAATAAACAGTTGACACATATGTCAGATGGACGTAAAGTGTACATTCCTAAATGGACCCTTAGATGAAGAAGTCTATGTTAAACAACCAGTTGGGTTTGTGAAACATGACGAAGAAAGAAAGGTGTACAGGCTGCATAAAGCCTTGTATGGATTGAAACAAGCTCCAAGAGCTTGGAATAAGAAAATTGATAGTTTCTTAAGGGAGAAGGAATTTGTAAAGTGCACAATTGAACATGGAGTATATGTAAGAAGAAGCAATAGTGAATTGCTTATACTATGTCTCTATGTAGATAATTTGTTGATAACAGGTAGCTGTAAAAGTGAGATCAAAGACTTTAAAGGTGATCTCAGCAAGGAATTCGAAATGACTGATTTGGGTGAGATTTCATATTTCCTTGTCATCGAATTCTACAAGAGCAGTGGAGGTTTGATGATGCATCAAATAAGATATGCAGGAGAAATTCTCAAGAGATTTGAGATGGAAGAATGCAACCCAACTTCGACACCTGCAGAACCAAGACTGCAACTGTCGAAAGATGCAGATGGAGATGATGTCGATCCAACCCAATACAGAAGACTTATTGGATCATTGAGATACCTTTGTCATACAAGGCCTGACTTAGCATATAGTGTAGGTATGGTAAGTA